TGTTTAATTTATAGCCTTTGTTTGATAGTTTGTGGGGGTAAAATAAAGTGTAATGCATAGTTTATGTTTGACGCCTTCAGTATTGTTTGTAGGAGAAAACAAAATACTGTTTTTACCGCCAGACCAGAGAAAATCACATAACACAATAATTATGCAACCACATCCATAAATCCCTCTTGTTCCTTATCTTTCTCTACTTTGAATCGATACAACATTTATCCTTTTTTCCAATTCCTCTTACCGTTTTTTATCGTTTCTTATAATCATCTTCTCTTTGGCTGTTTTCTTCCTTTTCGATTATCCAAATCAGAATTCCAGTACAATTATGTCTTTCATTCCTTCTCATAACTTGTCCAAGAGAAACGATTACCTTTCAGTTCAGTTCTTACTCTGTAGCAGTTGATTTTTTGAAATGTCTTAACCTACGCCTTCTAATCACATAAACATCCATTTTACCATTTTTACCTCTGCTGTGATGTTGATACTGTGACAAAGCTGTTTTCTGTTCATTTATTTTATCACAAGTACCATAGGTATCAAGTACAATAGATATTTATTAGTAAATCATAAAATAATTAATCTTATGATTGCAACGCTTTTAATATATCTACCTAACCGAACAAAATATATATTTACCTAACCTTACAAAACGTGGATCTAATTAAAATTTTATCTGATACTATTTGAATACATGACATGACGGGGTAAGATAAAATTTATATTCAATCACCCATTAAAACGAATATTTTATTAACAAATATTATAATTCTTACGCCATTTGCGTGAATAGACTCAATAACCAAGGCGAAGACGAAAATCAATAAGAAATGTCATTAAAAGACGACAAGCGCTATATTCTTTCTAGCGTTTCAAATGACGATAAAGAAAATTTGAACAATAAACTCTTATTAATCCGGAAAATCAATAATTTTTCACAACATTAGCGTAGGTAGCTGCGCACCACCGCATGTACAAGTCCGTATATTATATAAGTTTAGCGCGCATTAAATTCTAATCACGAACTTCAAATGCTAGAATAGCTAACCTGTTTTATGTTAATATAAGATATGGGCCCTAAGAAATTCAATGCTTATTAGGCTTATAAAAATTCCAAACGTTTAATTCTGGAACTTTCTGACAGGCACGCGATGCCTGACGAGCTTGCAATGGGGCTTTAGACTATTTTGTATGTCTCAGGTCTCAGTAGAGAATTAGTGATGCACGTAGGTAGTACGGAGTCATTACCTACTCGACTTACATATATTTTTGATCTTAACTACAAATTAAATACATGTTAGTATTTTAATTTTACATTTGTTAATTAAGGAGTAAATTTACTTTTTTAGCTTCAACATATACTTTATTCAATAAGTTTCTGTAACGAACTAATAGAAAGAGTTATTTGACCGATTAAACAAGTAATAGATGTAACATATATTTTATGTTAAATGGTTATAATGAGACTCGATTTTATCAACCAAGGTCTTCCGTTTAGTATTCATAAAGGAGATATTTGTGGAAAAAAAGTAGATTATATTATATGGTCATCAAGATAAAGAGTGTGTACGAAAAATCAGATCTATCTGTCGTAAAGGGAGGGGGTAAAATCCAATTGACTACTAATCCAAACAAACTATTAACACACACACAATGTTAATATGACATGCCACCTTAGGTCTTTATGAGCATATCAAAACACCTTTAGTGGAAATAACCCAAGAACTGCTTCCTAACGAATAAAATATCATTAAGTAAAAAAAATAATAATGTAAACACTAATAGGCAATGCCATTACGTGTATCATAACAGCACTTCGGTTATAAATCCCCTTAATTGTTTTTCAGCATGTAAGTTGTGTAAAGTGTATAAGATAACCGATGTCAAGCCGGGCCATATTAACAACTGGCTACGTTACTTTCACCCCCCTCTTGAAAACATCTGATATCGCCCACATAAAACATTAATCCAAAACCCTCTCTTTGCTCAACACTCTTCATTTGACAGATTGGACTAAATTACTGAAGCTTTTTTATTTAATTTAAGGGTAACTGCAATCGTAGGAGTATTTATATTTGAAAGCTTGTTTGTTCTGTCTCGCTGAGATCGCTCTCCGTCCAAGTAGTTTTTATTGGAAGTTTTGTTGACCGAAGCAGTCAAGCGTTGGCGGGACTTTGCCCCCTTTGTACATAGTGACATAATATTGCTTATATTTGATTTGATCAACCCTCCGGACGGGCCAGGAAGCCCCATTATTGCTTCTGCCCTCACGGTTTATTATCTTATAAATGCTCGTTACATTTCTTAACGAGTGTCTAATTTATTGGCAGTTTTAATCAGGGTCGATTATGGAAATTCAATGAAAAAGTTGCAAATGTATGTGTAAAATGTGTCTACGCTTACTTCTATTTCTACGAATACTTGTTTTGTGGGCTGTGAAACATTTTAATTGCCGTCGCATCAAGTTTTTACAAAATCCATTATGTTTTTTCAGTTTTGTTTTACCATATCAATGTATCCATACCGGTGTTTGTTTACCCTAATGTTAAATATTGACATAAAATAAATGCTACATTGCGTGCCTTACATGTTAATAACGCGAAAATAGTTTTTCTATGTGACGGTAAAAGCACATGTAGGTTGTAGGTAACATCAAAAAATCATAATATTTACATTGTGAAAACACATTCAAACACTGCCACACAGAGACGACGGTGGCGTATTATACACCGATAGGTGCATGACTAATAGCTTTGTAATTTATAGTACTGACAACAATACAATAATATGTATATGTATACGGACAGCTTATTTAATGTGCCACAATACATATATGTTAATATCGTCCACAGGCAAGCGTGGTAGGTACTGTGCACCGTGATTATCGAGCGGCGTGCGATTGATATCGAAATCACAATTTCATACCTAAATATCGTCGTTATCCATAATGACATAGTGTGTACGTGTGTTATCTTCGACTATTACTAATTACACGTATGCACGCAAGCAGTGATAGCGCTGTTTATACAAATATGGCGGTCCAATAAGCGGTTGGCTCTTTGTAATTGTAGCTCAGATTAATCGCGACGTGTTTGCCCCAACAACTACTTATTCCGACTTCACATGTAGGTATACAACTACTGCGAGGACGCCGACATTTTTGAATATTATTAAAACATTTTTGGATTCCTTAAATACTTTAAAATATTTTAGGGATCGCATAAAAAGTCGTTTACCGCTACCAGATAAAACAATACAGACAACCATAAATAACTTCTTCTAATTTACTAATAATATTACACATTAAATTTTCTAGTAGGTATTACGTTCACGGTTTAAGTTCCCTATATCACGAATATTATCAGGCATTGGACGCCTGTATCAATCCATATCTTTATTTAAACAAACATTCAACAGTTACAAATCTGAGTCAGAGCTTTCAGCTTGCAAGCCACAATTCCCATGTAAAATTGAAGGCCAACAAAGGTACAAGACTTGTCTCTTTGAAGACTTCGCTCTGTTTAAAGAAAACAAGTTGGTACACTCAAACGGAGCGTCATAGGTGAAGTGGGGTCCAATGTGTGCACAGTATCTTATGCTATTATTTCTAAGTCAACCCGGCCCCAATGTTTGACCAAATCTGTTTACGTCTCCGTTCCCTTTAGTCTTTCACCGCCTAAACTACACTTATATTGATTAAATAAAGAAATTCATATTTGTTATATCAAGAAGACTGAAGAGCCTTGTCTGAACCCACTCTTTCATCTCTATTCAATGGGCCTGCGTCGTATTTGCTCTTTATATAAGTGTACACAGTGCTTGCATATGCGTACGTTTAGTGTTCCGAATGGTTGAAGTTCTAATGAAGTCATTATAGCTGGGTGGTGACAACTGCTGTGTGACATCATATTTTATTCAGGAAACATGTCTAATTTGATTTTAACTTATATATTTATTTAACTATTTTTTAACCTGTTAACAGTTTGCCCAATGGTTAGCCCTAGCAAATTTTTTTATTGAGCAACAAACCATGGTGGTCACTAGCGCCCTTGCAATGAACTCATTCACATTAATCCTCAATGAGTGTTATTTGATATAGATTAGAAGAGATGAGTGTCTATGTATAACGCTTGAATACTGAAAGGCTAATCAATAGACCTCAAATTGTAGCGTTTAAGTATTTGGACATAAGTAAGTTGACTTAATATTTTATAAGCTTTGTCTAAGAAAACATCACTTACAAAAAAAAAAAAAATAATAAAGCAGTAAATACGTATAGATTTTACAAGAGTGGTTTTAAGTTAAATTATAGGTACATAATCATCGCTAAGATAATAAATCGAAATGAGATTAGAGGAAGTGAATGAGACTTCAATTCATAACATCAACACAAAATTACGATGAGTTAAACAAGACGTTACGATTAACAAATTGTGCCGATCACGTCGTTACTTTGATCAGCGGAGCGTTAGCTCGACTCTTCATAATATGTTTACTAATTATTTCCACGAAGTAATTCGAGAGTATCTTCAGTCGGACGGGACGATGGGCTCGTCACAGAGATGCTTAGATTAAGCGGATGCCCCTGATATTATCTTACCGCTCTGCCCTAGAAATGGAATTAATTTGCATTCGTTTAAAAATAAACGCATAAGAAAGCGCTCCAGTTGTTAAGTGTGCTCTCAAATCGACCGAGTAACGATCTTTTAACTGTTGATTAGCTTGTAGTTGTCGTTTATTCTGAGAGCAATAAATTTCAACTACATCACTCGTTTGACCTGTAAAACTTATCAGCACGGGTTTGGTTAAAAGTACAATATTGAAATATAAAACCAACTTGCCATATTTAATTATATCAGGGTCTCCTTCCACATTTGCCCTTTTATTTTATGTCATATATTCTACACATATAATTACTCATCAATAAATCGTTTAAAAAAAATCTTAACACGTGCAAAGATTCTTCAATTGTCAACAGTATGGTAAAAGAAATTCTGTTGCAGTTGCTCGTGGGCAGCAGCGGGGCGGGCACCGGCGGCGCGGCTACCTCGCCGGACGGGGGTTCGAGTTCGGCGCCACCACTGTCGCCGGGTGGCTCGGCCGTTGCTGGCGGCGCACTGTCGCCAGGCGCCGGTAGCCATGCCAGCACCCCGGCCGCCTCCTGCTGCGACACGCCGCGCCCCATCATCACAGACCCGGTCTCTGGACAGACAGTCTGCTCCTGCCAATACGATGGAGCGAGACTCGCCCTTACTTCCTACCCCCGCCTATCAAGTGCCGCAGTCGGTGTTTATGGAACACCATATCCATCGACAGATCAAAATCCTTATCCCAGCATTGGTGTCGACAGCTCAGCATTCTACTCACCGCTGGTATGTATTTTAATATTCTTAGTACTTAAAACATCATCAACATCATAAGAAATTCAATACGACAGGCCGAGCTCTTGATATTCTAGGATGTATTAAGATCATAATTGAATCTTAAGTCATGTCACGAAGAACAAGTATTAAGACTCAATATTTAATGTTATTTTATCAACGAGCAAATTGCTGTCGATGTTTATCTTAGCTAATTGAGAAGTAAGGCTCTGTTCGTTGTGATAGCAGCACTGGAAACATCACAATTGAATAAATCACTAATTATGATACAGTTTATTTCATAGTCGCCATTAGCCGAGTCAAGCTGTTAACCTCCTAAAACAGAATGAACAGACTGCAAATTGGTACGAATAGGTCGTTTGCCGTTTGCCCGTATACGAAGCAAGGTTTATCGCTCTCGACTGTGATACAACGTGTTTGGCTTTTCTGGCGTGGCGTGCGAGCCACCGGCGAACCGGTCCGAGCGCGCTGGGCCAGAAAACCACCGACACCTCGCAGACCCTGCCGCCGCCGCTGCCCTGTCACGAAACATTAATATTTAAACTCAAAAATAAATTCAAAAAATTACAGCTACATTATTATACCAATTACACTCTCAGTTTACTTCTGAAAGAAACTTTTATGTTGTTTGAAATGACAAGTTTCGGTTTTTGTGTTTTTCTTCTGCCACGTGAAATTATGACAGTTGGCAAAAGCGTTTTTCATAAATTGCAATGTATACCCAATTTGTGGTCAGACGGAGAATGGTTGGAACTGCTTCTCGGTTAACACCTTGTCTGAGCAAAGGGGACAAATGGGCGGTCGTTTTATGCGGCAGCGATACCCTTATAAGGTACTAGTCACCAAAGAATCGAATACACTCAAGCTACCGCACGTTTCAAACTGGCTTAGTATTCTAAAGCTTTCAGTATTAGCGCAACATGAGGCATTAATTTGTATTTGTATATACTATTTATTTTACGTTAGCAATCTTTGAAATTCTATAAAGTGAATTAGCAGATTCTGTCGATCGCAACAATTCCCGTAAAAGACATGTGAAATCCGCTAAGCCCACAAAATCCTATTGAACGAATCCTCCATTCTTTTTTCTTTTTCGAGAGGAAGTTTATAGGTCTTAATCGTGAACCGCTGAAATATTCATAACGGAAGTTGTCACTAAAGATATGAGTGCCGCTTGCCAAGATTATGCCATTATAATAATATGTTTCGGGTGTTTTTCGTCATGGCTATTCACATACATGTTTTTAAAGACAGTGATTTTATGGTGACTAAGAAATATCTTACCACTTCTAATAAGACGTGGTCTTTGATCTCATTTTTTGCAGAAGTAGTTTCAAACAAAAAATACACCGTCCATCCTGAATAATTTTTTTTTCAATAGGCTTACACAAAATAAATACTAGTTTTACTAATATTATGAATGCGAAAGTTTATGAGGATGTATGTGTGTATGTGTGTGTTTGTTACTCTTTCACGTAAAAGGGCAGAAGGGATCGAGATGAAATTTGGAACAGAGGTCGATTGTGGTCTGTAACAACACATAGGTTGACAGAAGACAGTTTGAAATAAAATGATTAAAGGCTAATTTTTCCAACGTCAGATAACTATCAAAGGATTGATTTCAAATTATTACAGCGTTTCCATACAAAATCTGTCAAGCGTTAATTTTATTTAACGGATAAAATTATTTTTCTTTGAAAACTCAGCCGTACAATAAAATAATATTATTTCTTCAAATACATTATAATACAATTTCGAGTAATACACGCCAACAAAAAGATCAAGTTCATTCAACTCATAATTATAATATGATGTGGTAGGTTTTAACAAACCTTGTTGTTTGTTGATAATTGTGGATGCGTCCTAAACCGACGGTAGTGAGATCTCTATCAGTCATTTATTTAACGAAGCTGGTACGTAGGTACGCTCTGTGACCCTGCATGTTTAATAACAGGTGTTTAAATGTATGTATACTGTCATTGTGTGTCCCTGTTCATACCTAACTCACGACAAGCCCGGCCGGTTCCGTGCAAGCGACGATTTAGCGAACAATGACGACGCTCCACCGCAAATACACTTGTGTCTGTTTCTGGCTATGTAAGTCTTCACTTACCTACACACCAAATGGAGCCGTAAGACGGGCGAACAGGGCGTAGTATCGTTTGGCCCTACATTACACCGTTGCGGGGGAAAATATTCAACTGCCATTTTTGTACACGAGCAACTCCGGTGGCGGCGTCTGTTCGACTTGCGACTTACAATACGAGCAGCGCCATCTATTGTATGCGTTTGATAATCAATAAAAGGGGTTTTATTTGTGTAACTGCTTTGAATGACATCGATTAACTCTTTATTATGATTTTCTTAACTATTATACAAATAAAACTATCTATTTAAAAGATTATTTGTACAGATTTTTATAACTACCTATAATTATTTCAATAAAATGCTACGTAGGTATCAGGCGTCGGGTAAATACCATATTTTTATAGATTAAAAACGACACCTAATTAAAAATTACATCAATTTCACAACAACCACGGAAATAATGACTTGTAATCTTAATAATTAAATATTGTGAAATACATATTAATAATAATATAATACGTATGTTTATTCAAAATAAAAAAATACCTAAAATAAAATTCTCCTTGTAAAAATGAACCTGCTTAAAACTGAGATAAGCGGCCAATTATTTAAAATCAATCCGATATTAAGCGTTATGAACTTTAAAAATAACTGAATATTTTGACAACCATGTTTTTTATTGCAAATAGACATTTATGATGTAGGTAGATTACGAATGCTCTGCTATTAATTTTTATGTATGCACAATAAAAGGAATACTCTTCCTTTGAAGATAAAGGCATAAATACTTCATAAAGCGTGATAAAAATGTTAATTAATATTTAAGAAACTGATGGCGAATCGTGAAGTCGAGCAATAAAATCTCTCGTCAGTTGTTCGAAAGCATGTGCAGCAGCATGTGTCCTGCTACATATATACGTTTATCACTCGTTTATTGCAAACGGAAACCTCAGACGAACCCTTCTACCATACAGCATTATAGCCCACTGATAGACATATGACGCGACATCCCAAATTAACGAGCGCCGACCGAGTAAACCGTGTCATATCTCTCACATCAATGACAAATGCATTAAATATTCACGCCTTAGTTCTTAGCTGTTTATTATAACAATCAAATTAAACCAGCCAGGATAACAAGAACAAACATAAAGCGCTGAGACGCACCTTACTGTAACTCGATTATAAAAACGTAACAAAATGCCAATTTAAATACATCACTAATCTTAAGTCAAAGAGAATAAGTTTTAGAAAAAGGGAGCAGAGATTCAATTAAACGAGGGTAGCCAAGCGGGATACAAGATGCGTAGGGACCGCGTTGGACTGAGAAGGAAAAAATAAATAAAAGTCAAGAGAAATCAGGCGAATTGAGAATAGCCATTAAGGTGTTAATGAGGGTCTTATTAAGCCGTCTCCTCCCCGTGGGTGGTCTGCCTGTAGTGCTCGCTTTGTTCATTAATCACTGCAGATTAAATTTCGACTTAATTATCAAATGTGTATCACGAGCAACAATGGACGATGAAGTTTTGATAATGTCATCTTTTTTGTTCGTGAGTATGCTTGCTGGTATCGATGTGCAATTAAGTCACATTTATGCACCCAAGAAAAGACACTTTGCTATACAGCTTACCATCAATCATAATTTCTTTTTAAAAGCAGATAAACGTTTCATTTATAAAATTAATTAGTTGGGTAACCAGTCGATATGTTTGAGAGTGGCATATTGTTTATAACGCCTTAATATGGCATCACTTGTGAGATTATCCGATAGGTGGTTTTATTGTGGGCACAATAGTTGCTTATCATTTTATTGTGAGTCGTTAAAACTGACTCAAAATTAATTTATGATTAAGATTTCCATTTTTAGTTTTGCATCTATGTGGTGTGGTGAATGTAGAATGTCTAAATAGCATACATTTCAAAATCATTATTTATCAACTTATTGTTTTTCGTGTCAGTTCGTTCGTCTTATTCTATACTTACCAAGAGGTTGGAAGGGCCCCAGTTCACATGAGCAGATGGTATTTGTTACCTTTAAATTTGTATCCCGTAGATACTCGTTTTATTTGAATTATTTCAACTCCGGAGATGAAATAAATGCATAAAAGCAGCTGCTTAATTTAACTTGATCCCAGTTTACATCTCTCGTAAACGTTACAGGACCTATATGTATGCAAATTAAGAAAATTAATTCGACGACCTACACTATATGATGTAAAGAATAAACATCACATATCAGAGTGGGCTCTTAATGGTAGGTATGTATTTTCAATACACTTTTCAATTAAAATTAAACTTATGATAATTATTATGTTTTTCGGCTCACTCGCGTAATTATTTGACGAGGCACTCGACTAGTTTTAAGCCATGCTAAAGGCTCATATTCATGAGCAGAACTCCACGACAAACGACGCGGAAACTTCGTGTTGGCTACTCATTAGATTAGTAAGATTAGATTAGTAAGATGATCTCTGTAGTTATAATTGACAGCGGGATCAAGATCTTGACAGTGGGATCGTGTGAAGGATGAAAGAATAATCTTCAGTACCCTTTGCATAATTTTTTTTTTTTTTTTTCAATATGATATCAAAATCATAATAGCTTACAATATGATATCAAAATCATAATAGCTCAGAATAGTTTACAAAGGCTGCGCAATATTCGGGAGTGGACCGGTATCAGCTCTGTGGAACAACTTTTTTGCCCGGCCAATGACAAGGACCAATTCAAAAAACTGACGGCCAATCTTCAGGAATGAAATGGCACCGTAAGAAGAAGTTTACAAAGTAGAAAAAGTTCAGTCGTCAGTTCGCCTTTATGTAAATATTTCAACTGTAAAACGTTAGCATAAAAGAATATTACAATATTAAATTAATTTATTATATTCGCAACCATACACCTGC